TAGAAAATATGAACCTTTAAAATACCTTCATTGCACTGAAGTAAGAAGTAAAAGACTTCTTTCTATATGCTTTCATAAACTAATCAGCAATGAAGCCGCTTTTAAATAGCGATCACTTGATCTTCAATCCCATTGGACAAAATTTAGGGCGACAACTTAAAGTGTTTTTGGATACTGTCGAAAAGTAGTGTGACTCAACTAACCAAGAAATTTGAAGATTAAAAAAAATTTAAACTTTCAATGTATATATAAAAAAATAAATTATATAACATAATTTCTGCTGAAATCAAAAATTAAAACATCGAAAGAGTTCAGCTATAAATTGTCTAACTGACTAGTGGAAAATTGTCCCTGGGTCATTGAATAAGTTTAAAGCTATGGCTAAAAGCAACATCAATTAATGTAATTATTTTGGCTCCTCTTCCCTTCTTTTGGTAACTTTATTTTTGTAATCAGTCTTGGACTATATATTTTATTCTGTCTGGCTTATTTGCAAAATAAATAACACTTAAGGTAGCAGAGGAGTTCCGCAACTCAAGCTTAATTAAGTGTTATCATCACGTTCCCATTGTAATTAAGATGTCTTTTTTATCCCAAATTCAAATTTAATATGCTATTAAACTAAAGCGTCCTATACTCAATAGTATCTAGCGTCATGTTAAGGTTAAAGCTTGTATCTTATGAGCAATAAATAATTTACTATTATTGTTATATCAATACAAAAATCTATTCCGATTTTTAAGCTTTCTTTCTCCTGGTATGGTTGTATACTTACTAAACAAACGAATGCTTAACTATGTATTAATTAGTTGTACAACGAACAGATATTTTATGAGGCACTTTTTTTAGAATGACCAAAATATCAATACCAAAGTAAAGGCGAAATATGTTTGAGGCAATTTAAAGTAAAGGATTCTCTAACCTTAATGAGACTGTCAGGAAATTAATGATCTAATACTGTGCATAAATGACGATATAAAACTGTTTTTCATGGAGGAAAGTAATTCCTATACTATTTCAATTTTAATGACTAGCCAAAATGATAAACAACAAACGAACAAGTAGACAAATAAACCAACCACACAAAAAGCAACTAAGACGAATTGTAAGTATTTGTAAGAAACTGCCTCTTATCCATTAACCAAAACTAAAGTCTTAATGTAAGTCAAGAAAGTAGATGTCGAGCGTCTGAATGAAGAACTAAATGATGATTAAATTTAATCGCGGTTCTACGACAGAGCCCGATCAACATTTCAGTAGAGGAACGTCAACAAAACAACTGTACAAAAATAACCGTACCTGGAAGGTTTTTGTCCTTTTCTTTAAAATACGTTCGCAATTTAACGTCGAATTAAAGTCAAAAACCTTTGGATAACGTCACAGTCGCTGCCCATCGAAAACACTAACTTATTACTTTGTTGCTCCTGTGTGGCGCAAAAACGCGTTTTGTTGATCGGTTTCCAATCAGCTGATGGCAAAAAAGGGATAAGATTCGCGCCGTTGCGACTTTTAATTAGCGTTTTTAGTCGGCAATAGTGATGAAAAGCTGTGTTTTGTCCTTTAATTGCGCCATTCACTTCTGTTGAATTGGAGACAAAGAAAATTTCCAAGTTTCGAAGATTTGTTGACCTACACACTTTTTTTGAACTTACGCTTGCCGCGATTTTCGCAGCTGGTAATCATTCAAATTCAAGTTTTTAAAGATTATTATAGAGAAATAATAAATAAATCTCATCACGCTTATGATCAAAAATAATTATAATTTTTAAAAAATGACCCTGGCGCTTTTAAGCTGCCTTTTAAGACACTAACAACTTTATAATTAGGTACTTTTTGTTTTTTGTGAAAATTTTTATTTCTGATATTATAAACGCACAACGTGGAACAATACGTTTGTTTATATTAATGCTTGATACTCGCAGAGGAGGCCCTGGATAAGATCGCTCCGTAAAGTGTAAAAATTTCAAACGCATTTATGTATTACAAAAAGTATAAAGAATGCAGAAAAAGATAGAGACAGAACATAAGACAGAATTCGTCCCTGTTTTATAAATGGAAGAGGCATATAAAAAGTTAAAATATTGTAACTGTAAATATGTAGCAAAAAAAAAGTGGAAGATTTTAAAAAGTCTTCTTACAACAAACAAAATGTGCCATTTTCAGACATGAATATTGGAGAAACAGAAGAAAATTTTAATAATTTCTCTTTTGTTAAAATATATCTTTCAAAACATGCAAGTATTGAAGTATTTCTGGTTTCTTATATTCTTATTGCAATTGGTAGAAATGCTGATTTTAAATTAAATTTCTTTTTATGACCTTATGCTGGTTTGTAGGCACGAGTTCAATTTTCTTAGTGTCATTGAATTTCATTCATAACTCTAACACAAGGAACGTTGCGTATGAACGAATCAAGCAATCCTTTTTGATTCTCCGGTTTTATCAGTATACAGCATCAGTTATCTCAGAACTAGTGAAAATACAACAGAACAGAACTAATTGGTTACAATACCAACTGGGACAAATCATGTTCATCTTTGATCTCTGCTATAATTACTAAACCAACCGATCTACGCCAATGTGTGATCCGAACAGATCGGAAGAAAAATTTCGCTCACAGACCCACAACAAAAACAAAACACAGCGCACCATATACGTGTGGAATATCTCGTTTGGATTGAGAAGAGAAGAATCTCTCGCTCTGTAACGGGTTTCAGCATTAACCGTTCGATTTCGATTTGAAGAGATTTTACGGTGTAAATGGGCACCATTATCGGTCGTTGTAAATTGATTTTTTTTTCGGCGCGGACCGGAGAGAAGAGCACTCCGGCTGGTTGGAAATCGCGTATGTGTGTTTATATCAAGTGAGGTACGCAGAAATTGAAGTTTTTTTGTCCACGTCAGTACAGTTAGGTTTAATTGCCGTATGTTATGAATCAGAGTGAGCGGGGCTAAAAATCGAAATTTCCTGTATTTAGTAAGTAATTAGTCCGTAATTAGTAGTGAATAAATTCCGACTACATAGATTAAAGGATTACGAAGTTGTTAATTTGGGCAATACCTCCCACAAGGATATAATTTTGACATTAATGTTTCCATATCCTTTTTATAAAACTTCTGGATTCCTCCTGCGTCGGTTTTTGTTCAGTCGATTTTCGCTTCTATATTGTTTGAGGGGGCGGAGCTAAATGAAGGACATTAATACCATCTCTGAAGACTGATTCCCATATCGGTGACAGGTAGAGAGCTGAGTCGCGGGTAAGATTGTTAGGTTGTTTATAGATTTCTATAGACTCTCGGATTTTTCATTGGTAGAAGAATTGATTACATGCAAGAATTTTAGTTTTATCCAATAAAATTTTATGACCGGTTTCGTGATTGTGTTCGACAACTTCTGATGAGTTTATTTGTCTTAGTCTTAAGGCTCTTTCATGTTTTTTGAGCCTAGCTGATATTTTTCGTCTGGTTTCTCCAATGCATTCAACTGGAATTTTGTCTTTCACGGATCGAAGATGTTAAGAGATTTTTGGACAAGTAGTAAATCTGGTTTTTGACGTTATATTTCTCTAGAAATTTTGATATGCGGTCAGTGATGTTGTGAATATAAGGAAGAACAACAGTGTGCAAGTGTGAGATTGCTTTCGGATTCACTGCTATTAGAAGGTTGTGGTGAAGTGTATTTTGTAATCGAACGCTTAATATCTTTAATGTGGAAATTGTTTGAGAGAAGAACAGAGGTAAGGTGTTTTAATTCTGGGTTCAATGACTCGGGCTGAGATAGGTTTACGGCTCTGTAAACAAGAGAGTTGATAACCGATGATTTTTGGGCCATATCTTGATGTGGCAGATATCGGTCTGTGTCCGTAGGTTTTCTGTAAACACAATGACCCAATGTTAGGTCTGATTTTCTATAGAAATTTCTTTTTTTAAGAATGGGGGGGTTGTTATTAGTTTCTATTTCAATGGTGTTTATGGTATGGTATTTAGCTCCGCCCTCCTCAAACAATATAAAAGCAAGTACAGAGTAAAATGCGAGCCAGTTTCAGTCAAGAAGAAGTCAGCGAAACGTTAGCTAATTTGGGTCAACAAAAACCGACGCAGGAGGAATCCAGAAGTTTTATAAAAAGTATTACAGTAGCCTGTGGAAGTTTCTTCGAAAAAAAATCAAAAATCCATATTGTTACAAGATTGTCTGCAGACTTGTAAGATATCATTAACATTAAGATCCATTTCTACAAATACAGACCGTTTGTGGCGTCACTTGTATAATATATATAAAATATTTTCCTGCATTATTAAGGAAGCAAAAATTAATACAACATATTAATTAACATGACTTGAAAAAGAACATTTTAAACCAATATGTGACATCCAATATTATTAACACAACATTTCTAGATTTTTTTGTAGAGAGAATGGCTATTATTTATGTTGTGCCACATATCGTTTTCCACAGCTTTTGAAGCAAAAATTTATAAATTCCAGCGGACAATGATATAGATAGATCATGTAAGAATGTAATTCTTGGGTTTATTCGATAACTAAAAAATATAAATTGGTGATATATTTTTTATAAATATGTTTTTCGTCCATATAATTGCGTACTTTTAAGCTAGCAACTAATTCAAATGTGATTAGATCCATATAATTAAATGCAGTGACGTGCCCAGAGGCAACCAATTATTTGTCAATAGATTTTTTTAGTAAGGTAGGCGCTCAAGAATTAGCCTTTTACTAAAACAAACAGATCTGTCAAAATAATCAAAATCGGCAAAATGATGATGATGATATGACTTGATCGAAAAAAACACCGTTTTACCCTTGAAACAAACAATTTAGGATAACCCTAGAACTTTCAGATCTTTTGGAACACTCTGCACAATTGAATTTCAGTTGGCCCATTTAAACATCCTTTGTTTGTAAAAAATATGTGTTTAGGGATTTTCATTGATTTATATGCAACATGGCCTATGAATCTTTTCTGACGTCTTTATACCTACCTTTTGCTATCAAGGCCAACATAGTGACATGAACAAAAACTGCGGGCTCACCTGAAACAACAAAAGTATATTTAGATGCATTTCATAGCACATACCACATTAACAAGCACAATTTTCGTTCTCTTTCTAACACCCCCCAACTCTATCATTCTCTGCAACATTTAAACTTAAATAATAAATATAATAAATAAAAAATAAATTTTTCAATCTTTCGAAATATGAAATTAACGTTACCTTCAAATCTCAAAGTTCGATTACAAAAACTTAGGCATAAAAGTTTAGCGAATTCATAAAAAGGAGTTATTAATTTTTTTAACTTTTACTTAATATTTTTGGAAGTGTTAAGAAGCAACGCCGCCATGTGTAATGGTTTCAGAATAAATGCGATCTAAAACCTTACAGTTTCCCAAAGATGAGAGTTGCAACGTCGCCGCAGAACTGTAATTCTTTTTGTGAGTATGACAGTTGTAACTATCCTCGGCGATTCAAAATTTATTATTCGTTCACATTCTTCGGTTATGCGTGGGCACAACACTTGTCGTTGGTACGTTTTCAATACGACCCAACTATGTATTCACAAATTTACGGCATTGTGACAAAGAAACATTTACACGATAAACCTTCTACTCCATCATACAGAGTGTCACTGTAATTGAAGCATAAAAGATCAAAACTAAATACGAAATGTAATTTTCCAAAGAAAGTTTCACACATCTTAGCTTACAAATAAGATCTTAAGAAGCCAAAGTATGATTGATGATTTGTATATATTAATAAATTTGAGGTGCCTAATATAAATAATTTAAAAGTTGGTTAAATATTTCTGCACGTTTTCATTAGTTTCTGTTGTTTTTTTAAAAATCGAATGAAACCAAAGCGGGACCCAGCATGTTACAATTTTTCAGTTTATTTTGGCGTTCTTAGAGCACGGAATTAATTTGGTAGCAGTTTTTTTGTTGAAAAGAAATCTCAAAGATATTCCGATTTTTCATACTAACCGACAATTACAAACAGGGAACAATCAGATAACGCCAACAGGAAACGTGAGTCTATGACCACCTTATATATTCTTATAATGCCAATTCGCGAATTGGCCTTGACTGTATATCATGTTCCCAAGTGTTTCAGCGCCCGCAGCACACATCCTCACGCAGATTTTGCTATCGATTCGTTCTCACCGATTTGCGTTAATGTCCCGATTCATTGCTCTACTACAATATTTGTATGTGTATGTATCGTGACACTAGATTACTTTCAGAACTATGTAGAACCAAATATTAGTTAGAGTTAAGATAGTTATAATACCTGTCCATGAAACCATTAACGATTTTACTAAAACTAATAAAATTAAAGTAGTGAGCTACCAAACATACACCAAAGTCTGACGCTTAACCGATTAAAAACTATATCTACAAATTTTGGCTCTTGTTTCGGGAGCACTGTCTTATCCTTTCCACAATCAAATGAAATAATCAAGATGCTTGTGGAGAAGGGGGAAGATCTCCAAAAGCAGAGTAAAGATAAATATTCATCGCACTCGAAAGGAAAGAGCAGTATAGATATCCTACAATGATTTATTTACAAGCAGCACGTATAGGAATATAGTAATCACAAGTCTTCTTTCTGACTTTTGATTCTCAACATGCGAAAACGACATATCAGACGAAGATTGGTGATATTCCAAATTACGTAAGGACATGATTTGCTTTTTAGCCTCTGAAATTAGCACATACTTTTCTTTTCATACCGTTGAAATCGGATCTGAGCATTTAAATCAATTAAAATCGGTATTTCAAAGTGGCGCGCAATGACCTTGGAAGTCATCTTTTCCGGTAATTTTCTAGTTCATTACGTAATAATTACTCTTAATAACGTCCGGATAAAAAAAACGAAAATCTTCGCCACCAGATTGGTCTTATTAGCGGAGATCCATTGCCATCGATGGAGAGTCTGTTACGGATTAATCAAGTTAATTGGATATAATATCAGGGCGAGCGGATTCTGACTAAATCGGATCGCGGGGATTAGGAAAGCGCCGTGTTATATCTAGGAATATGTCATATTTTGACTAGGCAATTAATTGCATCTTGTGTTGATTTGTTATAATTTGATAAGTATCTTATTAAACCAGTAGAATGTAGACTGAGGAGCGTTCATTCAAATCCAGCTCCCCTCCACTCCAAAGAAAATGGTCCGGTTTTAAATTAATGCTCGTTGACTATAATTCAGAAAAAATATTAATTTCACATTGAGTTGAGTGAGGAACAGTTATTTTTGCGTGTATTTAAACGCACAGCGTGCAAAATCACCTGAGGCTATCTCTCAGAAAAGGATGCATTTCGACTTTTTAAAATTTTCAATTAAGAAATATGCAAAATATGAGATTGTGTAACCAAAATGTAAACCAGATACCGAGAAATAAATTTTATGGTGAATGATTTTGCTTTGATATCAAAATTTCTTATGGTAGGGCCGGAAAAATATTGCAAAAAAACACTATAAAAGATGGTCTAAGTTTAATTTCATCCGACTTCGTTCCATCAAATAAAAAGCGAAAAGCGAATTACCCACGTGTCTTAAAATCCTAATACCGCAAAACCGCATTTTCTTGCACACAATTGCGGAATTCTGTAAAAGTAGTAAATGATATACGGCGTGTAAACCACTAACCGCAAGTTCTTTAATCTAATTCTAAAATTAAGGAGGAAACTGTAAGGAGTTTCCTAACAATTTCTTAGAGTACATTTAAAATATACCGAAATGCCGATATGAGTAAAGTAACATGAAAGATTCAATAAAATGAAGGAGGTAAAATTGGATACTGGGTACCCGTTTTTTTCTTTGGATCAGATTACAATTTAGCAAACGAACAATAAATGGAGATCAATATTTTCATTTTTTACATTTCATAAAGTAATATAAACATGAGTGCATCTATATATAGCTATTACATTATATAGCGACCCTACTACAGTAAAAATTAATTGATATTTTCGAAGAGAAGGGAATGATTTTCCAAGCATGGCTCTACATTTCACCCACCAACGTGCACTTTGTGCCTCTAGATTTGGTATTTAAAATTATAATTAATAAATAGCCAAGTTCATTCAGTCGTATTACTAAGTTTACTAATATTCCCCATCTCGAAGTTGGATTGCAATTCTAATTAGGAAAGCTCCTCTACATCGATCTTCTCATGATTTAATATTTTAAGCTCTTATAACAACATCGATAATTTCACTTAAATCACATATAGCAGTGTGCTGCACTGTGATACAGTGGAGGCTGCGAGCGAGTTGTGGTGGTATGAATCTGTTATATATTTACTCATATATTTATTGTTAATAACTTAACTCTGAATTCTGCCAATTTACTGTAGTATGATAGTATGATACTTAATTTGAACCAAGAACCAAAGTGTCTTCTGTCTAAATAAAAAATATATTTATTTTACAAGACGCATTCTTCTCATAGCAGTTCTTACAATTCTCGTTCTCAGAAGTTTTTCCTTCTGTCGAATACTTTTCTTTCTCTCCAATTTGGCCTACAATGTAGCAGTAGGAGTGTGTGATGGTTGCCCGGAAATACCCAAAGGAAGAACGTAGAATTTAAGGATTTTCAAATACAGAAATGATCAATCCGTGCACAGATTTTTGCAAGACATTTTTCTTATTCCTATGATTGTTAGCGACATTCTTTCACATCCAGTGCGCATTCATTCATTGTGATTGACGATTCTCAATAACATAGTTTCATGGCAAACTCAGTAACCAAATCATCATTCTAGTTTGATACAGGGGTACCTAGCAGACTAACGCTTCGGGTGGTGAAATAATAGCAACCCAATATTATTGTAACACGAAAGTCACTATTGATTGGTTTAGGTCTATTCGTTCCCATTTCGATTTCAGCCCGCGTAGGCGATTCACATGTGCAATTTATACGAGATCCTCGGCATGGGTTGCGGTTTTACCGTTAAGCCACTCTTACATTTGCCTAATAAAATAAATTTGCGATTTATCTAAGCGCAGAGCGACACGCGGACGAGCAACCCGACGTTTGTTGAAATCTAGTCTTACCGTTGTGTCGTGTGTTTGTGTATGTGTGTGTGTGTGTGTGTGTGTGTGTGTGTGTGTGTGTGTGTGTTTCAGCATCAGGTCTTTTATCACCTGCGCTTTTCAGCCGACCACAAACCGGGTAGAACTGCAAACAAACCGAGATAAAGAACTGATCGCGCGATAAACGCCGCGACTACTATTGTAAGTTTTTTTTAATGGAAAAATGCATGGTGACCACATGAGGAGAAAAACTCACGCTCGTTAAAAATAGCTTCGTGATTATTTCCGAGGTTTAAGTTTAGTTATAGTCATCATAGCTGGCTTCCGCTGTCTATTAAGCTACAATTCCGAGTTTTTGTCCCTCCATTATCAAGTTCAGCCCTCACATGAAATCTCCTATTTTGTGGGAAACATTTTAAGAATCTGATCCTCGTCATCCCCAAAAGTCAATTTAGTACATATACTATTGGAGTTTGTCATGGTAACGACTAACCGGATGTCGGCTAAACTTTTATTCGGGAATATTTTTATACATTATAAGTATAAATATGTCGATTTCATTGTTCGCAAATTGATTGTCCATAAACACTGTTGCACAGAAATCGACAACATGTGTTGAAATGTGCACTTTAGCTTGGAGTAAGCAATGCAACGAAACTAACCAAAACTAACCGTGGGTGCAGTTTGACGAGACGTTTTCCGATCAGTAGTATTTTCTTTTCCATTTGGTATTTTTTCTTTTTTTTTTTCGTAATAATAAGTAAGTTGTGTAATAGGGTCAGTTGATCAGCTTTCTGACACTGTTTTTGGTACAGTAACACAATAGAATATCTGTATATATGGACCTTTAAGTTCCACATTTCGAGCTGCAAGTATATATTTTCAATTATTTGAAATTTAGATATTATGCTCCCTATTGACCACCACTTTTAATACTTTTCTATTACTAATGGTTTTTTGCATACATTGAATAACCGAATAAAAATATTGTAC